AAATAGCAGATCCAATGATTTCCTGGACTTAGAAACAAGTCAAAAGGTAAAAGATCTACCGATTATTTTTATTATGAAAAAATATTAACTTTTATTTTATCCCGAAAACCCCTTTACTCTTCAGGGCTGCAGGGTTTGGACGCTGTCATGAAGAAATTTAATGTAGCAGATTCCTGATTCTAGGTCCTTCCTCTAATAAACCTTTCGATTTTTTTCGCAAAAAGATTGCTTTCTAGACTCCTCCAAAAATTAAACTGTGTCCCCGAATACGAAATTGAACAACAGTACCACTAATATTTAAGAAAACTGCATATAAATCTGTCTTTATGTTCTTGCATACCTTTTCTCTTGTCGGACCATTGCTGTTTTTATCAAGTACATCTTATGGTAAATTTTGTATTGAGTGTTTAAAGCAATAGATTCATGTTCCATTATCTGTTTGAATATGAAACAAAATTGGATGACTACAGTAACTGATATTTTAAAATAATTGTTAAGACATTCATACACGCTGTCGTTTTCACTCATTTTTCAAAATATAGGGTGATCTTTGAGCACTAAGCTTTTTTACCGTCAAACGCTTCTTAAAAATATTGTAAACTACTCCCGATATGATGTATATCAAATTTGCTATGTTAAAGTCAGTCATACATCATCAGATATTATTTGTTGAAATTGGGCAAATAGTACATAAGTTATTATAATTTTTGTTGGCAAGGACGGTACCCTTTTTTTCACTCCATTATATAATTTTTTATCATTGAAATCCACTTGCTTATTTATCTATAAAACAGGCATTGGTTGATGTAAATGTCACATATTTCAGGGAAAATTTCTTTTGGATTTTTAACACGTTTTACAGCAGCTTTAATGAAGCTTTTATTTTCACTCTAGTTTACTGATTCTTTACCATTCATTTATAATGCAGTGTCTCGAATGGCCCTTGTTTCCCAGCTTCTCACGATGAAACTATTTGATGAAAAGTGGTCACATAACTGTTATCAATTCATTAAGGATTCAATAATGAGAAAAAGTCTAGCTTAATGTCATATGATTTCTATGTTGTATGTCATCGAGTTAATGACATTATTTATTGAACGTCCCTCGTATGAATCCTTGCAGGTTTTCGGGCTTGGACATTTTTTTCGGATAAATGATTTTTTTTTACTGACTGACCTCCTCTTTCAAAAAAATGATGCTACGTCACTGGAGTTAGTAATTTTTTTTAATCATTCCAGGGCCAGAATTCTATTACAAAAATCTACCAGTCGCTCATCTAAATCAATTGAATATGCCTTAGTAAGCATGCATGGGCACATATCAGTGGCAGATATGGGAATCTTGAACAAGGAAGGGGGACGGTATATGGTTGGAGACCAAGGGCGGAAAGCGGAGAAGCTCTCAGGCTTTATAGTTTTATAGAAAAAAGTTTTCAACTTAATTCAGCTAAACTTAATGTGAAACTAATGCAATGTCCTACAAAGTTTAAGACTTTTATAAAAAAAAAAAAAAACAATTCAAAATAAAAAGAAAAAAAATGATTGCTGCACGACTCATAATATTTGATTTATTTAATTATCAGATTAAAGTAAACACCATTGAATTTCGACGTGACTTTAATTCACAGTCGCAGTGTTAAGGCTTTGCATGTTTCAAGATTGTCAATCATTTGTCGCTTTAAGTTTTCATTTAAAGATGTCATTCCGAAATCGCTGAGAATCTCTTCTACGACAGTTTTCTCTCCCGCCATTTTAGTGCTTGCGGAACGCGGAAAATACGTTATGCTCATATAAAGGCCGAGGATACCCGCGTTCGCATAACGTAATAGTGAATCGACATAATGTAGAAGAGTGCGCACAGTATGGCATGAGCTTTTCACATCAGTTAATAAAAACTAAGATTGTCATGAAAAGTAAACATAACGGAATGCAAGTTGACGAAATAAAATTGTAGTATGTGTAAATGTCATAAAGAGTTGATATAATGTAAAGGAAAGTTAACACGATGCAATAGTAGTGTGGGTTAATGTCATAAAGAGTTGACATAATGTAATGGAAGGTTGGCACAATGCAATAGTAGGGTCGGTTAATGTCATAAAGAGTTGACATAATGTAATGGAAGGTTGACACAATGCAATAGTAGTGTGGGTTAATGTCATAAAGAGTTGACATAGTGTAATGGAAGGTTGGCACAATGCAATAGTAGGGTGGGTTAATGTCATAAAAAGTTGACATAATGTAATGGAAGGTTGACACAATGCAATAGTAGTGTTCTGCTATAAGGCAGTGAAGGCGTTCCATACTTTTCTTGTTTCTTTCCTCTCCGAGATTAACTTAGAAGAATTACACGCTTAGTTTGGACTTTCAGTAAGGCGTGGCATTCTCGACGTTGCCTAATTAGCTTCTGAAATTTACACAGCTTCCCTTCACTGTTGAAATATACATATGATAGAAATGCGGCCGAATGTCAACTGGTGTAGTGAATAGCCAATTAAAAGTTCTCTCGCGACACAGAGGTGGGAAATAAGTCGTCTCATCGTTATCAACAACAATTTTAAGTTCCTATGTTATTAATTTCGTAACCAATGAGAATCTACTAGTATTCGCCATTACGTAGCGCCGAGAAAGTCACGCCCTACTGAAAGTCCAAAGATAGGGTAAAATCATACTATGTTTACTTTCATGACTCTACAGGTTTTTTAGCGGGTGATTCTGTTTAAGGTTATGCTGCTTTATTAGTTGACCTGTATTTATATTCCTATGAAGCTGAATTTATTAAAAAAAATTCTACATGAGAAAAGAAATCACTAGCTGTGGCCTTCAATTCAACATTCAGATATTTTATAAATTAACAATAGATAATTTTCATTCATATGTCGAGTCGATATATCTCAGTGAACCTGAAATAAAGACACCACAGATTCTATGTTTCATAATAGGATGTTTTACTGACTAAAGGCGATTAAGGACAATTAACAACTTAATTGTTATAACATATACACAGGATGACTCCAACTTACGTCATATTTCCATTCTACATCCCGGTGAGCTTGAGATAAAAGATACCACAAACTCTGACACATCGATCGATCTGTTTCATATTTGGATATATTACTTAAAAAAGACGTAAATAGTAATTTAACACTAAGCTCTATGATAAACGTGATGACTTTAACTTTTCAATCGTCAACTTCCCTTACTCAAGCAGCAATATACCTTCATCACCTTCACTCTGGGTTTATATCTCCCAGTTAATTCTATACGCAAGACCATGCTCTACGAGGGGTGATCAAAAAGTTCGCAAACTAATTGAATAACTTCCATAAAAGACACAATATTTGGTTTTAATGTTGATTATATTTTAAATTAATCCTCCCCGATTTTAATGCACATCAACCACCGTTCTGCGCATGCGCGAATCACGTGATATTGGCGGTCACGTGACCCCCTCCGTAGCGTTCTGTCACAAAAGTTAAAAGATTTTTCCGAGTTTTATATTTCTTTCCATGTGAGTTAATTTTTATGACAAGAACAGTTAATTTGTCAGAAATGGTCATATCTCGGCAACAGAATGGGTGGATAATAACATCCTTTCCAAAAATAAGCATGGCGACCATTAAAACACAAATCTTCTGTCTCAGGAGAGACCTTTATTCAAGGTGGATAGAGAATGGGTGCATCCTTTTTATCATATCCAATATGTTTAAAATGTAAAGTAAACGATATCTTGGGTATTTAATACTTATATCATTGTTCAAATATTCAACTATTTTTCAAAGTGCTAATTGGAGGTCTTTGATAGCAAATTGCTTAATTAAAATTACATAATCTTTTCAAACTTGCTTTCACTGGGCAAGATGACAAGTATCATTTTTAACCATCAGCCTTCCTTCACTAAAACGATTACTCCAATCATTAATTGAATTTATAGGAACTCATTTATCTCAATAAACTGTGTACAAATTATTATATGATACTGAAGAGGGATTTCTAAGATATTACAATAAATTGTACAGTCGTTTGGTGAACGAGTTCGACTGAGACAACCTTGTGTATGGCTATGTGTGTACCGAATTTCATTCTAATCTGAATTGTGGTTTTGTAGATATAGAGATAGTTTGCGAACTTTTTGATCACCCCTCGTATATATGTACAATTTCTAAAACGAGGTAAATTATTGAAAAACATGTTAATGAAACAAGAATATCAGCAGTCTCGTTTAAAGTCATCATTTCGTAAGTTCTATGGTCGATGCAATGACCTTGTCGGCAAATACAATTTATCATTGAGTAAAATGCTGATTGACGTTTTTCATACTAATTGTAAGGCCATTTTTTACACACTAACTTGACGACGGATTTTTCCGTTATTTCCCGAGCATGCCAAGGTGCACACAGCGGGTGAGACTGGTCGACAGGAGATGATCACTCCAAGGCAACTGATCCCACCTCTGATATTTTGAATGTCCGTGTTTGTTCTGCTCCTATTATGTATTGTTTTATGGACGAGCTTCAATACTGTTCGTTATCTCCATATATTTCATCCGTCTTATTTCATATTTGTTTTAGATATCCTATTGTTGCTACACTGAATTAACTACAGAAAGTTCTGTCTACCTAATCAATACAAAAGACTCACGGCGGGTGTTGTCAGTCAACAGGGGATGCTTACTCCTCCTAGGCACCTGATCCCACCTCTGGAATTTCCAGGTGTCCGTGTTTTATGCCTTCTTCATAAATATGTATAGTTTACAGATTTTTTTGACATCGATCAATGTTCGTAAGGTTCACCTTTTACACTCTACACTTGTCGACTGACACTTTGTAAATGTTATTTCTAAGTGTTTTATAATCTCTATTGTAGGAGTAAGGTTTAGATGGTGATTCTCCAAAGTTAACGATTTTCTATTTCTCTACCTTATGCACTTATGATTGATATTTTGTCTAGCAGGAAGTTACATATGTTGAGTAATTGACTATATTTAGATAATATTTTTACACGTTTTCATGAACATTTTTTTAATTAAAAACTAAAAATCAACAACACATAAATCTATACAGTACACATGTCTTTGATTATCATTAAGTAAAAATTAACACAGCGTTTTTCCAATATCAAAACCTAAAGGATACCATTTGTATTAGAATATGACAGTTTATTTTTCACATCTTAGCACTTGGATAACATGCGCGGCACATAAAAAATCCACAAGGATAACTGGCACATAGCAATGGCAACAGTATTTACATCAGGCAATGTTCATGTGTCCACACCAGTTATAATACTTATTATTAACTGACAGTATAACAGAAAATCATAATCAATATGACTGAGAATCGGAGATTTGAAATATATCACATGACCCCATTATGTGTCATGTGACTTTCCCGCTTTTTCTTCCAATGTTTTCTCCAACTTGTCAAACTCTGTCTTGTTTACTTCATCCACTTCATCCTCAATCTAAAAAATAGGCTAAATATTTTATTCTGAATGAATTAAGGCATAATCTAAAATCACAACGAACTTTTAACGCCTTTTATCGTCTATTAATTTATTGGTAAAAAAAATACTGGAATGAAACTGTGATCAAGACTATACCATGCAAGAGTATCCATGGCTCTAAAACTCTTTTGTGTTCGAGGGTTCTCATAGGTAGGAAAATTGAATGGTTACCTGTTCGACCCCCAGTACTTCTGGGATGTAGAATTGGAGCATGTTTTGTACACCACTCTTCAGTGTAACCACAGAACTAGGACAGCTGGTACAAGATCCCTGCATCTTCAGCTTTACGATACCGTCCTCAAAACCCTGAGTTATCAGAAAGTTTTAATGTATCATTATTGTATAGCAGAGAATGTCATTTACAGCTTAACGATACCGTCCTCAAAACCCTGAGTTATCAGAAAGTTTTAATGTATCATTATTGTATAGCAGAGAATGTCATATTCAGCTTAACGATACCATCCTCAAAATCCTGAAGTATCAGAAAGTTTAACTGTATTATAATTGTATAGCAGAGAATGTCACATACAGCTTAGGATGCCGTCCTCAAAACCCTGAGTTATCACAAAGTTTTGCCTTACTGTAATATGGCTGTATTGCACAATATGAAAATTTCATATACAATTTAATAATCTTTGAAAAAAAGGTCTTATAAATTGCATATTTGAATGAAGCTGAACCTTTAATATATTTTTATTTAATCCAACAATTAAACACATGATCAATGTGCTAGATAAGTTTTACTGTAATCCATTCGTAATCGTATTTCATTCCAAATATCACCAAAAATATTTTCTGGAAATTTTGTGAGGTGTTACTAGGGAGCGCCTGGTTTCAATACTACTAATGTTTAAATACAAATCAAACTCAATTTAATTTCTTGAAAGTATAAAATTAGTTAAATGTTCTAAATCTATGTTATGATAAGATTTTCCATTAATAAGTTGTGTAATCCGTACCATGTACACGATGTCCCCTCCGTCCTCCTGTACTGTCGGTCGGATTCGTGTGTCCAGTAATTCCTTTATCATTAACACTGTCTCGTCATCATCAGGGTCAATGGCTTAATAAAGATACAGCGTTAATACATGTCAACAACATCAAGATAAAACATTTTTACGTTTTTAATTTGTAAAATGTGAAATAAATTAATCTTACATCATGTTTACATATGAAATTATACCTTTTTGTAAATGAGAGTTGAAAAAATATCTATATTGTTATTTATTTTCAAATAAATTTTTTTTAAAAAATGCTTATTTGTCCACAACAATCTAAAATTAACTTGTAAAAATGTTGTTAATCTTTGTAATTAAATAATACGGCAGAAGTCATGCTGTTATTTGATAAATAACTGACGTTACAAAAGCAGATTGATTTAATAGCTGTGAACATTATCTGAGAGAATTTAATCTCTGGTAGTTAAAAGAATTACACATCCACATAAAAGGTGTCTTCCTATTTCAATATTAATAGAACATTATACTAGACACTAGTTTTACATTAGCCAAAGCAATTAAGAGATTAAACTGGCTTTCCCTTGTGATAAGATTTTTAATTTAATCTTATCTACTGAAATTTGATAAAGCATCTTTTAAATTCTTCCGTTTTTGATTGAGTCCTTGGATAAAATGAGGAGAACAGATTAAGATCTGACAATCAGAGGGTAGTGGGGTGTCTACCTGTGTCTGAGGAGGGTTGCTCGTCTGTTAGAATGGGCAAATTACTGGCAAAGAAATCCATGATTGTGGCGTAAATGTCTGGCTTCATCAACTGCCAGTCCAAATCATCGTCCGCCTGTACAAAACACAAGCTCAATCGACTGAACACTTACCGATTGGTTTAACAAGACAAAAATTGAATATCAGCCTTCATTTCGACTCACCTTAGTAACTGTGATAAAATCTGAACCGAAGAAAACACCTTTTACTCCATCAATTCTAAAGAGCATCCTAAAAACACAATCATCTTTTGAAACATGAAAAGGTGAGATAGCAAACATTACATATATAAATAAAAAGGGTATAAAACTGTAGGGCCAGGTGCCTTAGGAGAGTAAGCATCCCCTGTTGATCGGACACATCCGTCGTAATTCCTATGTATTGGTCAGGTGGACGGAACATTGTAAAACTGAGTATATAACAAAGGCATAACAATTGGTTTTAATAAAACCAATAGCCAAAATGCGACCTTATGAAATCTTTCCTTTGTTAACAAGGTCATGAACAACAATCTTAGAATTTTCGAAATGTTGACTTAAAACGGGGTTCTTGAAATTACTGTCACATCCTCTTATCTCCCAGAATCCTGACTCATTTTAAAACTGATAGTACTCAGAGCATGTTCTTGTTTACGAATGAGTTGAGAGACATAAACCCCATAACCATGAAAGAGAGAAAGTTGACGATTGAAAAGCTGAAATCATCTCGTTTGTCATATAATTTACCCGGCTTTTATCATCTGTAGGTCAGTAATACATCCAAATATGAAACAGACGTGGCAAAGTCTGTTTCAATTTTACTGTCGAATTGACATATGAATGGAAAGAACTATTGTTTTATGAATATTAATTCATCGATATATCTGAATGTCAACTTGAAGGCCAAAGCAAACTTTTTTTTCTCATGAAACATCTGGAGATAACAAACAGTATTCAAGATAATAGTCCATAAAACAATATAAAATAGGAGCAGAACAAACACGGACCTCGAAATATGAATATTTGTTAACTTGTAAATATGGCATTTTCAACAAATTCATATCTCATTTTTTATATTTATATTCAAAAGCATGTTCCAAACCCCGGCCTAAAATTTTAACACTTTAGAGTCTTTGTAAGGAAGCTATCACATTGTTTTCATCTTTTTTCTGATCAAGTATTCTTTTTTAAAAGATATTTTAAAAGTTGTTTCAATATATGCATGGAATATATGGAGAAAACAAACAGTGTTCAAGCTCAAAGGTCCATTAAACAAAACAGATCAGGAGCATAGCAAACATGGACCTCTAAAACATCAGTGGTGGGATCAGGTGCCATGGTGGAGTGAGCATGCCCTGCCCACCGGTCACATCCGCTGTGTGCTCCTTGCCATGATCGGGAAATAACGGGGAAATCCGTCGTCAATTCAGTGTATAAAGAATGGACTAACAATAAGTATGAAAAACGTCAGTCAGCATTTGACTCAATGATAAATTGTATTTGCTGACAAAATCATTGTATCGACCATAGAACTTACGAAATGTTGACTTTAAGGTAGAATGCCACACCAATTTTTTATTTTATGGATCTATGAGTCATCCTTTCTAAACAATGGTTTCAGCAATGAAAGGCCGACATTAGCTCTTAATTATTTTATATGAATTTTTTTGTATTTTTTCAAAGAAAATGAAAAAAAATTATTTATATCCAAATTAGATGCTTTCTTGTAAAAATTTTGCTGTAAATGAATGCATCACATGAATACCTAATAAAATATAAAAAGAAAGTTTGGTTAGACTTTTTGATTTTTTTTATAAAAAATTATTTATGAAATTAAATCACATTATTTGTAAATATTTTTTAAACCTATGGTTATAAACACCATAAAACTAGTCATAACTAAGGACAACATGTTTGTCAATCATATTTTTAAAAGAAATTGAAACGAAATTGAGAAATTTTAGAGAAAATAATTTTTTTAATATTTGGACCTAACCCGATCAAAATTAAACTGATCCCGATCAAAAATAACACAAAATGAATAAAATGCTAATTTATTGCATCTTCATGTATTTACAATGAATAAATCTATTCTATTGTCAGGTTCTACAATGTTTTAACCCTTATAACACCTAATCAGACTAGTGTTCTTAGGAAAATGTTATTTATTTCCAAATAATTGTACAATTATAGTCGGGATCGGTTTAATTTTGATCGGGATTGGCCAAAATTAAAAAAAATTAATTTCTCTAAAATTTGGCTATTTCGTTTCAATTTCTTTTATAAATATGATTAATGAACATGTTCTCCCCAGTTGTGGCTGGTTTTAAAGAGATTTTAACCACAAGTTTAAAAAATATTCATAAATTATATGTTTTATTTTCATAAATATTTTTTCATAAAAAAAATTAAAAAGTCTAATCAGACTTTCTTTACATATTTTATTAGGTATTTATGTGATGCATTCATTTACAGCAAAAATTTTACAAGAAAGCATCTAATTTGGATGAAATTAATTTTTTCCATTTTCTTTGAAAAAATACAAAAAAATTCATATAAAATAATTAAGAGCTAATGTCGGCCTTTCATTGCTGAAACCATTGTTAAGAAAGGATGACTCATAGATCCATAAAATAAAAAGTTGGTGTGGCATTCCTCCTTAATCGAGACAACTGATATTCTTGTTTCATCAACTTGTTTGTCAATAATTTACCTCGTTTTAGAAATTATTGATACGTAAAGCATGCATGCTCTTGCATATCGAATCAACTGAGATATAAAAACTCCAAGGTGAAGGTATATACTGCTGCATAAGTAAGGGGAGTTGACAATTGAAAAGTTAAAGTCATTACATTTATCATAGAGCTTGGTTGTTAGATTCCATTAAGGTGGAATGCCACACCAACTTTTTATTTTATAGATCTCTGAGCCATCCTTTTTAAACAACAGTTTCAGCATTGAAAGGTCGATATTAGCTCTTAACTATTTTATATTATTTTTTTTGTATTTTTTCAAAGAAAATGAAAAAAAATTATTTATATCCAAATGAGTTGTTTTCAAGTTAACATTTTGCTGTAAATGAATGCATCATATGAATATCTTATAAAATATGTAAAGGAAGGCTGTTTAGACTTTTTAATTTTTTTATAAAAAATTATTTATGAAAATAAAACACATAACTTGTGAATATTTTTTTAAACCTACGGTTAAAAACACCATAAAACTAGTCACAACTAAGGACAACATGTTTGTCAATCATATTTTTAAAAGAAATTGATACGAAATTGAGAAATTTTAGAGAAAATAATTTTTTTAATCTTTGGACCTAACCCGATCAAAATTAAACTGATCCCGATCAAAATTAACACAAAATGAATAAAATGCTAATTTATTACCTCTTACTGTTTTCACAATAAAGAAATCTATTTTATTATCAAGTTCAATGATGTTTTAACCCTTATAACACCTAATCAGACTAGTGTTCTTGGGGAAATGTTATTTATTTCCAATAATTGTTAAATTATGGTTGGGATCGGTTTAATTTTGATCGGGATTGGCCAAAATTAAAAAAAATAATTTCTCTAAAATTTGGCTATTTCGTTTCAATTTCTTTTATAAATATGATTAATGAACATGTTCTCCCCAGTGGTGACTGGTTTTAAGATTTTAACCACAATTATAAAAATGTTCAAAAATTATGTGTTTTATTTTCATAAATATTTTTTTATTTTAAAAAATTAACCTATTTCGTGGGAGGGGGGGGGGGGGGGGGGGGGGGTAGAGGCAAACTTTTTTCACTTCAGTTCTTCCAATTCCTTTCAATATCCATTTTTTAAGCTTACAATACTATATTTCCTTTATATTACTTTACTTAGGTATCAAGTGGGGGGGGGGGGCAACCAGCCTTTCAATGAACATTTTCAATAGTAAAGTATTGTTGGCAAAAAAAAAGCGGGGGGGGGGGGAGGCCCCCCTGCCCCCCCCCCCCCCCCCCCGCCGTTGCTACGTCCCTGATTTAAATGGCGATTAAAACCACATAATCGACTGTACTACACAAGTCTACACTGCTCGTGTTCCCCAATATCAATAAAAGGGGCTGTCTTTCCCCTTATCACCCCACCCAAAATCACACACTTTTGCACGTACATGTAGTGTACTGGATTCTGAAAGTGCAAAATTTTTAAAACATACTTTTGTTAATTTTAAAATAAATTATATATTTAGCATTCTGATAAGATTCTTGTAAATGTTCAGATTATGATATTTTAAAAACTCACAATATTTACGGTTTTCAATTTAAAATTCATTTACCATATTCAAACAGCCTTCAAAGAACAGAAAGTACTCTAAATATGTCATCCTGAAACCGAGCCCCTGTACCTTTTACTAATGCAATAGTTGTTTTATTTATTTTATTTTATTTTATTTTAAATAAAAGCCACAAACACAAATATATATATAAACTTAATTATTTAATCATGATCAGATACTGTACAATATTTAGGCCTTTCAACTAATTTTTCAAAGTTGCACATATGGTAAAAAACATTTCAAAGATAGATTTATGGGCACGAAATTACAAAAAAAAAAAGATTACAACTTATGCATATCTTTAATTAAATTAGTAAAAAGTTAGATTATTGACTTGTACAATGCTGTGTTTAAAGGCCCTTTCACAATTGGCACACGAGCAGAAGCGATAAAATATTCGTGCGACCGAATAATTTTGGTTAGGATCGTAAACTGTTGCCAAAATAATCGCATATGAAAACATAGGTAATCAGAGATTACAGAGCTCACCTCAACGAATGTTGTCTTTAAATAAGGCAAAGTCACACAATTAACCAACAAAAAATATACATTCCAAAAATGAAAATATCTAAGCAATTTTGATCTGATACTTTGAAGTAGACCAACATAAAAAATTTAAAGTAGTTCTTCTTCATGAAAATGTAATTCAGCATCTAAAGCAAATTTGAGTTTTCATCTCTTGATGCAACATTTGTGCAAGTTTGGTTTAAACAATGTTATAAAAGCTTTAAAGTTTTTTGGTAATAGACCTGCAACCATAACTTTAATGGTCTATTATCTGAAAAATATATATGTCGAATTCAAGTCCATTAGTGTGCATCCTAAGATGTATCGTCCATGCAAGTTTGCACATTATAAGGCTCATAGTTAATTGGAAATGAAACATACATCAAAAACTAACATTTTCACTCATCCACAAAATGTAGGTCAGATTCAGCATCC